TTTTATTAATAATAATGGTGTCTATCAATGACATACAAACAATCTGTTTTTTTACATTCCATCTTTAGACCTCAAGTAAAGGCGTAATCAAATGCCCGAATAAGAAACCCAACCAACTTTATAAGCCCAAACAAAACCCAATCCATCTTTAAAATCAATATAAATGATTCCTGAAATTATCGACTATCAATTATTTTGGTGCTTGGGTGAAAGATTATGTGAAATAAGGATCAAAATGAAAAAACTCTTGGGTGAAAGATTATGTGAAATAAGGATCAAAATGAAAAAACTATCTTCAATTTAATAAACAATATGCCAAAATGATTTGACCAAAATTGAGGGTATTTTTATCATTTTATTCTTATTTTATGAAGATTTTTCACGAAATGACCAAAATGATTTATTGTGAACAAAGTCAGTGACCAATTTCTACATATTCAAATCTCACGAATCAAAATAAGAAATAATGCAATAATTAAGAACTATTTTAGCTAAAACTCCCAATGAAATTATTTGGTTAGTGCTGCAGTAACTGAAGGGTGTAAAACCCTAATCTCTCTTCTTCTCTCATCGTTTCTCTGCAGTGGCTGGGCTGAACGGCACATCCCTTCTCGACTCTCTCGACACTCGAATTCCCAACCAGCAGCAACCACAATGGCAGCATACGACTACGACGACGCAGGCACATACGACGAGACATCGGCGACGCAGCGCCAAACTTCGTCCGGAGCCCCGCCGTCTTCAGACCTCGGATACGACCCCAACTTCGTCCCCGACTCCGTAAAATCCTTCGTCGTCCACCTCTACCGCCACATCCGCGAGAAGAATGTCTATGAGATCCACCAGATGTACGAGACCTCGTTCCAGACCCTCTCCGATCGGCTCTTCAAGGACACCCCCTGGCCCTCCGTCGACGCCGTCGCCCATTACGTCGACAATGACCACGTCTTCTGCCTCCTTTATCGCGAGATGTGGTTCCGCCACCTCTACGCCCGCCTGTCCCCGACGCTGAAGCAGCGAATCGACTCCTGGGATAATTACTGCAGCCTCTTCCAGGTTGTCCTCCATGGCGTCGTTAATATGCAGCTGCCGAACCAGTGGCTTTGGGACATGGTCGACGAGTTCGTCTACCAGTTCCAGAGCTTCTGCCAGTACAGAGCTAAGATAAAGAACAAAACCGAGCAGGAGATTGCTCTGCTCAGGCAATTTGATCAGGTAATTATCACATTTAGTTCTTCAATGTCAGAAACCCTAAACCCGAAATTGGGTTCTCATTGTTGTTTGAGATGACCATAATTGGGGTTTTTTTTGGCAGGCTTGGAATGTGTATGGTGTGCTTAACTTCTTGCAAGCTCTGGTTGAGAAGTCGATGATCATTCAGATTCTCGAGCAAGAGAAGGAAGGGCTCGAGCAGTTTACCGCCACTGATGGGTATGATTATAATGGTGGCAGTAATGTGTTGAAGGTGTTGGGGTATTTCAGCATGGTGGGTTTGCTTCGAGTTCATTGTCTTTTGGGCGATTATCATACCGGTCTGAAGTGCTTGCAGCCCATTGACATTACCCAACAAGGTGTTTTTACCACTGTTATTGGAAGCCACATTACCACCGTTTATCATTATGGTTTCGCCAATCTTATGCTGCGGAGGTACATTGTTCGTTTTGTATGTTCTTTGTGATTTGACCTTGTTTTGCGTTAGATGTGTATGCATATATACTTTGTTTAGGTAGCCTTACAAGTATTACTGGTTTTTGGCTGCAGGTATGTGGAAGCGATTCGGGAATTTAATAAGATTCTGTTATACATCTACAAGACCAAGCAGTACCATCAGAAATCTCCACAGTATGAGCAGATTCTGAAGAAGAATGAGCAGATGTATGCCCTGTTGGCAATTGCTCTTTCGCTATGCCCCCAAGTGAAGCTTGTTGAGGAAACTGTGAACTCTCAGTTGCGCGAGAAGTATGGTGAGAAAATGAACAGAATGCAGAGATACGACGATGAAGCCTTTGCTATTTATGATGAGCTCTTCTCCTACGCATGCCCTAAGTTCATTACCCCCTCCCCTCCAAGTTTTGAGGAGCCCCTTGTTAACTACAACCAGGTATGTGAAACCTTACATTGTTGATATGATGATTTTTCTTGGAGAATAGTGCATATGATTCTAATTATTGGTTGCGGTTATAATGCGTTTACATGAATTGGTGGTAGACTTGATGCATAGCATCAGCAAACACTTGAGCAATAACAAAAATTCCATAGACTGAAATTTGATGGTGTCATACCAGAGAGAAAAGTGGTCTTTAGGCTCTTGGGTTTTAAGGTTGGAAACAGAAATCAAATAGAAGTCTTACTATTAGATATAGTGACATTTGAGGCAAAGTGTCGGTGGAGATCCTCTCTGTCTTTCTCTCTGAATGGGTTTGCGCGCGGGCATGTGCGCACAATTAATAAATTCGATTTACCAATTGCAGGACGCTTATAGACTTCAATTGAAACTGTTCCTTTATGAAGTGAAGCAGCAACAGTTATTATCAGGCGTCAGGACATTCTTAAAAGTCTATTCATCCATCTCCGTAGGAAAGCTCGCAAGCTACATGGAAGTGGATGAATCCAAGTTGAGGTACTTAATGAGGATTCTGCTACTTATGTTTGTCTAATTCTTGTTTTGATTATATAATATTGTTGTTTTGTCACTCTGTCGTGTAGGACAATCTTGTTGACATACAAGCACAAGACACATGCTGTTGATACTGAGGGAAAAGTTATCTCCAATGCTGATGTGGATTTCTATATTGACGATGTATGTTTTCTTCTATTACCTTTTATCTTGTTAATGGAAACTAAAACTCCTTATGCACTCGGTTTATGGGACGTTTGTTGAAAACTTGCCTCAGAAGATCTAAAATAGTCTTACCTTAAGTCGTCAGCTGGCCTTATGCAGCATCGCAACCCTTTTTATATTTCAAATACAATTCTTTTCTGTTTTTTGAGTCTTAAATTATGTTAGGTCGACTCATAGTTTTCTTAAGCGAACATGTGATTTCGGTCTGTAGTTTGACTTAACTATGCAATTCAATGCCCTAAAGGAAAAACAAAAGGTGTGAATGCAGAATCCTTGTCTTTGGAAATGGGTTCAGTTACTCTGATTGCTCTTCTTTTACACTTGTAGGATCTGCGTCTATCTATGTTTTCTTCACATCAATGATGATTTATTTACTGGGAAATTGTTAGCCTTATCTATTGTAAATTAGAATGGTAAATGATGACGCATATGTTTTCTGCGTGTAATATTTCTATTCTACTGCAGGACTTGATTTCTGTCGTCGAATCAAAACCAATAAAACGATATGGGGATTACTTCTTGCGACAAATCGTTAAGGTATGCACAATTCCTTGTTTTCCCTTATTTAAAGAAATCTTAATTAGCAGCGTTAGGCAAATAAATAGTTAATCGCCTTGTTTAATATCTTTGAACATTTTCGTTACAGCTTGAAGGGGTGATCAATGATATGGACAGGGTAAAGCTTGATTGAGTCATCCGTCGCTTTCTAAATTACCGTCCTCTCCTGAAATTTTTGCTCGTTTAGATTCGTGTAATGACGTTTTGAGATTTTTTTACTTCTTGCTAATTACCTGCCTCATGTACCTGCTCGGCTGCTCTTTTGAATTGGCGGATGTCGTTTAACTCTTAGAATTATCGAAATATAACTTTCCAAGTATTTTTTCCCCCTCAATCCAAGTCATCATTGGGTGCATCGGATATTTCTCAAAACATATGTCACGTGATGGGAGAGATATTTATATGTAAATATATAGTCGGGTTTTAGTTAGGTTTGAATTTTGGCATGGATTATTACTTGTGATACTTTTTTTTTATGAAACTCGTTATAAGAACTTATCTTTCGTTCAAATGCCTCGTACTATTCTTCCATATATGAACAGATTTATAATTGATGAGTAAAATAAGGGGGAGTGATATTCATACACCCTATTTTACTTCTTACACACCTTTTAAATTTTTGGCCGTCAGATCGGATAAATTGAAGGAGATCAACGGACAAAAATTATCAAGGGGTGTGTGAGAAGTAAAATGAGATATGTGGATAGCATATCTCTAAAATAAGTATCAAATGTCACGTGATGAGAGAGAAACCAAATCTTCGTGCACAAAACGCGTTTAGGCCCTAGATGTGGAATGAGGATCTTCTCTAGATTCTCTTTGTGAGGATTTCAAAGATCTTTTAATTACATCTTTTTATCGTATATCGTGCGATCAGAAAGTATTGTAATTTTTTTATTTAAAATTAAATATAAACAGTATTTGACAAAAATTGATCGTACAATGAACATATGTGATTGAAAGATCACTTAAATTCTTACAAAAAGGATCCGGGAGGATCGTCATTCCTAGATGTGGCCACTCATGCTAATTGACTTTCGGGAAGGACAACATTTGACGACATCGATTACGTTAATTTCCCTGCCGATTTTTCAATCCGCTAATTTTGTGTGGGAGCAGGAGCAATGGTTGTCAATTCTCGCTTGTCCCTTTCTAGGTAGTAGGTACCATTTTATCAGCAACGGACTTATAGCTCCGTTAGTTAAGAATATTAATATTCGCCCTCGTTTTTTTTTTGTGCAATTTCATTCTTTTCCTATATCATTTGTTACACACAAAAAAATAAATAAATGCACACAACAATAGTTTTTAACTTTACAAAGCGCATGATTGTATTTTTAGAGTGTAGATAACAGCTCTAAAAGAAATATATTAATTTCATTTTCAACATACTATTTTTAGTCATCAAGATAGAAAATTTATGGCTGAATAAAAGATATAAAACAGTTTAGTCACCTTTTGAAATTTTTTTAGTCCAAAATGGATCAAATTAGTATTGAATGTTCAACCTGTCAAGAATTAGTCAAATATTATTTGGGTAATAAATACAAGTACCTAAGACACATTTGAATGGCATTATATGGACATGAAGCCTCTGTCTTTGGTTTCTACTCCTACTTTTTTGAATGTTAGTTGTGTGGTTTTAACTTGGATTTGCATAGTCCAAACACATGTACGCTTACTCTCCATCAAACATTCAACGTTATCATCGCATCTCTTAAGATTCCAGTAGGCGGATCAATCATACTATTGAGGACTTACATACAAGGGGATTTTGATGCGGTGGTATTCCAGCCAGTTAAACATTGTCATGTTTTGTTGAGATAAACTTCAATGCAATGTGAATTCTGTTGTTATGGTGGTATCACAAACCAATCACACACTATCATGTAAGAGTTAACTGACTAATTCATATATCGCCACAGTTGCATCTCGTTACAGGCACATAAGTCATTTGGGTATGTTGCCAAATTATCACCAAACCCCCATCTCCAGCAATTCCTTTCCTCCAACCCACATGGGTTTTTCTCAAGGAAGGGTAGAATATAATTATTGTTTATTATTCTGAGTTATATAGGTAGCTAGGAATAGGTGCGGGCTATAGCAACACAGACAGAGTTGTGCTGACTGGTGTGATAGAGAAATGGTGATCAGTGCAAGGTGTTGCTTGAGCAACTCCATGAGAGTTTTGAATTTATTTGTCAATGTTTGTGGAGTTGCAGTCATCATCTACTGCCTTTGGCTCACCAAGAAATGGCAAGTTGGAGTCTCTGAGCTCCCTCCTGTCCCAATTATCCCTCAGCCCTGGTAAATATATATACACATATTTTACTTTTGTTGAATTGTGAATTCATATTTTCATGCTTTGGGTGATTCCGAGGTTCCGTATTCGAATCTTCCGCTCTCCAATATCGCTTGTATCAAAGAAAACGAGAAGGGTTTTTGCTGTTTTTTGTGATGGACCTATAGAGCAGAGGCTTCCTGCATTTTTTCTTTAATCTTGTTATATTTTGCATTTGTTCGAAAGTCATCAGTTGCAATTTTGTTTGACAGGTTTATATATACATGTTTAGGTATGGGAATTGCTGTCTGCCTCAGCACCCTTTGCGGTCATATTGTTGCCCATTCCGTCAGCAGTTTTATTCTCTTCATTGTATCCTTTCTGGTGTTTAGAGCTTTTCGATTGACATTTGGCTTCAAATCTTCGTTTACAATGTTCGAAAAAAAACTTGGGCGGTGATTTTCACACTCGTTTTAATCTCCTGCACTCCTCCCCTTGAGTGCAGAACACTTGAAGATGAGTGTCTAAATTGCTATCCAAACGTTTCTGCCTTTTTTCCTTCAACTTTTTACCACTTTTTAGCAATTTGAATTTAGTTTTATGACTATTTACATAAATATCATCAATCTGGTTTGTCCTTGACCAATTTTAATTAGTACATAATCTTCGTCTTCTGTCTTCTTTGCCTTGAAGTTGGAGTGATTGTCTCAATTTTCTTTAGGATGGACTGGGAAGTGGTATGCCTTCATGGACTGCATTCAGTCTTTTTAGCTTGGTAGCCATTAACTAGTAATCACTTTTTCAAGAAGCTGCTTTTTTGGCCTGTTTTTTTCACAGCAATTCGCCAAGTACATTGATGAGGATCACACCCCGTTCAAAAAGTTCTTGAGGTTTCATCTAAACATGTGCCGCATCATTGTAATTCTCATTTTGATACCGCAGGTACAAAAAACCCCGTTTTTTACTCAATTTCGGACATTGTCTGAACCGTTAGATCATCATAATTTTAGTAACTTAACGGTTCAGACAATGTTTGCACTAGAGAATTTCCTGCGACTTTGAGCTAAACACAAGTTCATTTTACAGATCAAGGCTACCGTGCTGGGAATCATTCTTTGGGCCATTGGTTCTGAGCCGAGGACGGAACATTTCAACTCTTCTGATGTCACAAACTTCAGATACTCATTTCTAGCAGCACCTACACAATCGTTACAAGATATATCAAGACATGGATTCAGAAACTACGAAGTTTCATCACCAGAATTTGAATCTCCACCACGCCCAAGCCTTTTTTCAAATGTACAAAGATTTTTCAGAATGCGTTTTCATAGAAGAGTCACCCTTAGTTAGGGCAGAAGTATATAAGTTTTGGGTTTAGGGTCCCCTGCATTTTTGTGTTTAGTTGAGGGGGTTCAGAAGTATATAATCTTGGCAGTGCCATTAGTTCACTGTCGCTGAAATGGTAAAAGCTTTTACCGTTGAAAACCAACAACCGCTTGTCCGAAACTCCAAATCTCAGCTCAGCACCCCCGCCATCCTGGTCCAAAACTCTACGGACGATTTCCTGCACTGCCACTCTCTCAGCTGGAGATCATGGCGTCTGAACATGGCGGTTCCGCATTTGCAAACATTCCTCAGGTTCCTGAAGCAACAATTCCCGTGGTAAGGAAATTAGATTTTCCCACACTTTCTTAAAACTTGGATTTCTTTGTGTATAGTTCAAAGACTTGATGGTTCACAGGATACTGTAATTCACACCAGTATTGCATTTGCTTAAAACTTTATATATTTGTGTGTCTAGTTATCTTGGTTGATCCCCATGAGATAAACTCGCCCTCCTATGCATTAGAGTAGTAAATTTAGCATCATCATACAGTGTACATGTCCTAGCCAGACACCTTATGGAAACCATCTGAATTTTTTCAATGCAGCAGGTCTAGCTATGAAGACATATCGTTACTATGATCCACGAACACACGGACTAGACTTTGAAGGTATGTTTTTGTATATAAATGCTACTTGTATTTTCCTTCTTTTGTATACAATTACCTTGCATCCCTCTCTTATATTGTAGATTGTATTTTCAGTGGACTTATCGTTTATTTCTGTCAGAAGATCGATAAGATTATGTAGGCTATAATTTGTTTGTACCCTATTATTCTACCTAACGTTTTCCATCCGCGACGATGCTTGAATGTTCTTTTGTTCACATCTTCTAGTTCCAGTCTCGGCGACTGACAGGAATGCTGGAAGATCTTTGTTCTGGCCCAACAGGAGCTATCGTGCTTCTCCAAGCATGTGCGCATAACCCCACCGGTATGTTGATCCAACTATGCCACAGTGGGAGCAGATAATTTCTTTGATATTGCTTAGCAGGTACGGCACAGTTTCGTTTAAGCTCGATTTCAGCTTCAACTTCGCAGTTTTATAAGATCCCTCAACTGGTAAAGTCTGCAGGATCTTGTACCTGAGAAATTGGTTAAGTCTGCTGTATATTGTAGGGTCACTGTCTTGCGGTCTGCGTTGAGTCCATCGGCAGTGTCATAGATCGAACATCGTCATCTTACATTAGGGCATAGTTTACTCACCCTTAATGTTACTGTGCATGAGGATTACCTTGACGGGTCTTGGTCCCAAGGCAGGTCCTCATCTCGTAGATGCAATACATGCAGCTGTGACCACTCATCTCTAAGCCATTTTTGAAGTGCATAAAGTGGCTTATTGTAACTCTCTCGTAATCCAAGGGTTACCCTACCCTATTTGTATTAAAAATAGAAAAATGTGAGCAACGTGCTTGTAACTTGATTGGTTAGTAAGTAGCATATATTGTTTACACATGAGATCATAAATTTAATTTTCCCCACCGCCTACCCTCATGATCTCAAGTTGTAGCTCAATTAGTTAAAAATACAGTTAATAAAACAAGGGACTGGAATAGTGCATCTATATATATAAAGTGAGAGCCTCAGTTTGGTGAAGCATTCTAAAATACCAAGAATGACCTTTTGTTTCCTTCACAATCAAAATCCAAAAAAAAGGAAAAATGAGGATAAATTGGTAAAAACACATAACTGAACAAAAAAACTGTTTTGAAAAAAAAAAGAAAACAAAAAGTAAATACGTTTCCTCTGCAGGATTCCCATAATCTGGATTGAGTTTAGTGGGACATTCCACAATAACTACCTACGCCCCCACTAATATTTAGAGATGAATAACCCCTAAAATAAAAAAAATAAAATACCTGAAAGAGAGAAAGCATTAAAACGGATGAGTTTTGCTGGATGAGGAATGAGAACCGCGAACGTGGGATTCAAACAAACCCTCCATGTTCTGCAAACTAACAACCAAATCAAAGCCGATACCTTGCTTTCAATTCCGATTCTTCCACATCCTTCCCCCTTCACTCCCAGCACCATCTGCAATCCCTCTCTCTCTCTCGCTTTCTCTCTCTCTAAAATCTAAAATTAACTGATGGTGTGTTTTTGAATGCAGGGAAGAGGAATTCTCGGATTTAGTTTTGCGCGGGCAAAGTGTGGGCTTTGAGAGTGAACCGAAGTTATCTAGCAATTCAATGGAATCAGAGAAGGAATTTCCATATTTGAACCAGAGCCTGTACCCAAATATTGAGCTGTAAGCTGTCTACAACGAATATTGAGCCGTAAGCTGTCTGCAGCACATTGCTTTTCTTTACCTCTTCCATATAATTGCGTTTACAAGTTGTTTTAGATATTCAGTTAATTTTGAAGCCATTGTCAATCTTTCCGTTGCAGAGTTTGATTTATCAATCATCTGCTATATGCATAGAATTTCATCTTTTTTCCTTTCAATTTTGGGTCAAATGTTGGTAGCATGATTATAATCTTTCAGTTACAAGTGTTTTTTTCCTTTCAGTTGCTATATCTTTTGGCAGAGTATTTAACAGAAGTTCAATTTCAAGCAGTCATTTTTCTTGGACAGAATGTTGCGGAAAGAAATATTTGACAAACGAATTAGTTCCTTACTTAAATACATAAATCGAGACGACGAGGACTTCATCACGCAAAACTGAATCATCTCATTCTTTTATGTCTAAAATTTTTTACTTTTTTTCCTTCTCTTTTGTCTTCTTTTATCTCTATATATATAAAGAAAGCCCCAATTTGGTGAAGCATTCTAAAATGCGAAGAATGACCCTTTGTTTCCTTCACAATCAAAATCCAAAAAAATCGAAAAATCTATTTTTGTCTCTTAGTATTTGATTTCTTTGCCCCCCCCCCCTTCGTCTTTCGTTTTAATTTCAGGTATAGGAAATCTATTGCAAGGAGCGGATGGAAAGAAGCACGACCCATCCTGTGAAAACTGGAGGAAGAGATAGGCGGAGCGGCATTTTGTTGCTTAGGATTCAACTACGTATGCTCTTTCTGAGTACTTTTTATGTTGGTTTTCTTCTTATGTTTATTATTTTCTTGGTAAATTGTTAACACGCTTTTGTAAACTGATAGATATGTCGATATATAATTTATGGAACTATTACGGTTCCCTTAATTGAAGAATAATTTGTACTAGATATTAGAATTCCAGGGTATAATGAAATGCCCACTGCATGAGAATCTTTTATTTTTCATAATTAATTTTGTTAATGCAATATTTTCTTCTTAACATTCTATTTGGTTTTGGAGACTGCTTTTACAAAATTATGAGTTTTTTGTGTGTATAATAGTAAAAGAAGAGAGCCTTTGGAGGGTGCTCATATATAGGCTGCGATAAGGTAATTGTTTTCAGTTTACTAATAGTTATCATTTGGTGTTTTTTTATTTTATTTTATTTTATTTTTGAAAAGCCTTTTTCATTGTAGTTTTTTTGTTTATGTTTTTGCAGATTTATGAATAAGGTTGGGTATTTCTTGCTGGTGATTGTATGATTGAAGTCGGTTTCCTTTCTTCACCTTTATGCTGGGTAGTTGATTTTGGGGTACAAAATATTGTTTTTTTTTTAATGATCGGATCACATTTAAAGAATAATGTTTTTTTCTTCAATATCTATTAATGTGGTAATTACTTCTTTTTTATTTTTATTTTTTTTAACATTCTTACAGAGTTTTGCTTGGATATCTACACAACACCAGGCCTAGATCCATCATTAATGAGTGAATTGGACATCATGGCACTTATTATGCTCTAAATAGTTTAATTTTCAATTTTTGTATGTACATTTTAGCTTTAAAGTTTTTGTAGTTTAAGTTTTCGTTTTCATTAACTCTATAAGCTTAATTTCTTTCGTTTTAGGTGCTCAAAAACCGATTGAGAATGACACAACCAGAGACAATTTGGGTACAAACTCAACTGCAAACGAAAAAAATTGTTCAGGTATATGTCTTCCATTTGTGTTTTTAAGTGATTGCATTTAGAGTTCTAATATTTGGTTATTGGAACTTATTTAAAGTGCTATGTGCTTTATCTTCTTCTTCATTTTATAGCTTTATGAGTTCTTTATGCCTTCTTTTTACGTTCTTATTTCAGATTACTTTGTATATTTGGTTGTATTCTTAAAAGGAATTTTCTTGCTTCACTCTTTGTTCATATATACCATGGAACTAAAACGAAGTATGCCTATATGCAGTTTGGTTTCAATGCATTTTATCCATCAAAATAAGAAAAGAGAATAAGTAGTATGGAGTTTCTTTTTTTTTACGGACAAAATTTCAGTTGTGTATATTGTGCTAACGCAGGAGAAGTTGCTTCTTTTTTTGGATGTTACTGACGGGTGGAAATCAGACTATTTGTTCGAAGTGTCTACCAATTAGATTTGATTGCACAAAAATAATGTTGTTGCCGTACCTATTATTTTATAGTGTCATACAACAGTATGCTTATAGATGTATGCTTCTATAAGCTATCAAAGCAAAGAGAAATTTTCTTTTCTTGATCCGTGTTAAATGTGTGTATATATGCAGCATGATTTTATTTTATTTGGAAATATACTACCATTGCATACCTATTTACCGATTTATTATCGCAGAAGAGTACAAAATATTGCAAAGTATCTTCTATTCAACGTTGTTCAACACAATAGTAGAATAAATTGTCGCTTAATATTGTATTTCTAAGTCTAATCCTAAGGTAAACCCAAAAAAAATTGCAAGAGCGCGTGTAGAAAGACTAAATGATTTGGTGTGTATTTGTCACAAAAAAAAAAAATATTATGTGCAATTCTCTCCCCTTTTGGTTCTTTTATACTGAGTCACTGACATATTTTTTGGTTACATGGTTGTGCTTACTACTTCTCCACAGAAGGAAAAAAAACACACGATGAAGTTATATATTAAAAAAAAATAGGAGGAAAGATGGGTGTTGGCCTCTCACAAATTCAAAATCAAAAACTTCGAAATGGCCCTCACATTAAAATATAAATAAGCACTTACGAAATAAGGAAACAAATTAAGCAGCACATTTTCAGGGGCATGCGTAGCGCCTGTGATAAAAAAAATATCTCTCGCATGCGCAATACATTAAACATATATCTTGACAATTACAATTAAAAATAACTAACTTGAGACATCTTTAGCAATGAGATCTTATTTATTTTCAGTAATCACTTAGGATATATAAGAAGTAACACATCTCTGGGGCGCGTAGCGCCCGTGATGCAAAAAAGCCTCTCGCATGCGCGTGAGCGCGTGCGGATAGGCTAGTTTACGTTTACACTTGAAGTTGCAAGTTTAATTTTACCCTACTCCAGATTCATTAGTTTAATTTCTCCCAAGCCCAGTGGACGGGCTTAAAGCCCATGGGCTTTTATATAACGGGAAGAGATGCATGTACGCTTACAAACAAGAGGCAGAGATTCAGCCCATACCCAGAGCCTCGATGCACGTGCCTACCAAAATTTTATCGGATGTCCCCGAAGGGACTGCCTACCCAAATTAGATAACATCGATAAGGTCGAAGCCACGTGCCCTCGATGCACGTGCCCACCGAGACGGTTTTTCTCGTCACGGATAACAACATCAATTCGTAGCAGAAAAAAAAAAAACAAAAAAAAAAAGAAGAAAACAATTCTCAATCCAACGGCTAAGAATTCCGTACCACATAAAGCCAACGGCGGATCGTGCAGAGTTGGAAACAGAGAATTCTTGGAAAAAAGAAAAGGTGTAAATACGATACAAATTGTCGAATACAGGCAGTTAAGGAAAAGCGGGGCCCACTTAATCAGAAACGTCACGGAAGAGGAGGGAGGCCTCCACGACGCGCCACGTCGTCGGCCACGTATGCAATTAAGGAACGCAAATCGTTTTCTTTCCTTTTATATTGCCCATACAACGAAGAGACTTGACACAGAGAGCGCACCAAAACTCAAAAAAGGCGAATTTTAAGCCCAGGAACGAATAAAACTGCCTAACATGCGCCCACAGTTAACATCACCCCACGCCCACAGTTCTTCTGTTTCTACGAGTAGTGATCGGAGGCTGAGCGCTCTGGTACGACACCTCGCTGCCGAAGAAGATCAATCGTCCTCCGCCATGGATGCTCACAACAACTCCATCTCTGCCTCGCCAGCTTCCGCCCACGCCAATTCCGTCTTCGCTCACGTCGTTCGCGCTCCCGAGGATCCAATCCTTGGGGTACTCTCTCTCTCAAAGTGTTTGATCTTTGCTTGAATCAGTTTATGAGATTTCAGGTTTTCGCGTAATTTGTAGTGATGGAGTTTTGATTTCTGTTGCGATTAAGCTGAACAGTTTTCAAATTTTGGTAATGGATTGAATGTTTGAACAGTAATTTGATCGTTCGGGCCCAAAATCCTTTTCGGTTTTCAATTTCGGGGTATTTTAATGCTAGCTTTGATGTTGGTCGTGATTCATATACTAGTTTGATCGCGCTTGTTTATCTTTATCCGAACACCTATCGTATTAATCTCCATCAATTGATTGATTGTTATCCGATTTTTGACTATATGAACAGGTTACTGTTGCGTATAACAAAGATCCAAGTCCTCTGAAGTTGAATTTGGGTGTTGGCGCTTATCGAACCGAGGTGAGTCCCTTTATGTACTGAATTTAACATGATTCATGAAGTTGTAGTATGTATTGTTAGCGAAATCGATCTTCTTTAATGTATGGAAATCGAATGGTTTCCGCTCACACGCAGAGCTGATGTTCGTTTCATTGTCAAAATTATGCGTATTTTCGTATACTAAAAAGGGAATGACTTGTTATCGTCATTTGTGTATGCTTAATATCTTAACTTGTTTTGTTGTCATTTAATGGCAGGAGGGAAAACCACTTGTTCTTAATGTGGTGAGAGCAGAGCAGCTGCTCGTTAATGACATGTAAGCTATGTCATTGTCAGTAAACTGATTTCGCTATTAATTTAAGACGCAAACATTATTCACGTTAACCTGATTTGTGCCGTTAATTATTGGCTTACGATTTGATTCCTCATTACACCCAGGTCTCGCGTTAAGGAATACCTTCCAATCGTTGGACTGGCAGATTTCAATAAGCTGAGCGCTAAGCTGATTCTTGGTGCTGACAGGTATAGAAGACGGATTGATATCTCGTCGAATCCTTTTTCCTTTATCATGTTTTGTTTGGAGGTGTATTGATCAGTTGTTTGATACAGCCCTGCTATTCAAGAGAACCGGATTACTACCGTCCAATGTCTATCGGGCACTGGCTCATTGAGAGTTGGAGGTGAATTTTTGGCAAGGCATTATCATGAAGTAAGTGCTTACTCGTTGCATCTTCTCTTGTTTCTACTATTGTATAGATTATAGTTCAGCGAACTTAACCGTATCTATTTTACTGCAGCGCACAATATACATACCCCTGCCGACATGGGGAAACCACACCAAAGTTTTCACTCTGGCAGGGTTGACTGTGAAAAGTTACCGGTATTATGATCCAGCAACTCGTGGCCTTAACTTCCAAGGTTTAGAACTAGACGTGTTAATAGTTTCTTATTGTGTCTATCACAGTTGCATTTCTTTGCCCCAATTATTTCATCTTCTGCCATATAGTTTTTTCTTAATTTACTAATAGTTCTTCCCTCGTGGGGTAATTGGCAGCAGGCCTTATAACGTGTCTATTCTTCGTCTTGTTTTAATACTCTTTTCGTTTCGTTTAACAGGCCTTTTGGAAGACCTCAGCTCTGCCCCAGCTGGAGCAATTGTACTTCTCCATGCATGTGCTCATAACCCCACTGGTGTTGATCCAACCCTTGAGCAGTGGGAGCAGATCAGACAGCTTGTGAGATCAAGAGGATTATTACCGTTCTTCGACAGTGCTTATCAGGTAGATTGCGTATAAAGTTCCAACTCCTGTACACACTAGTTTCTTCTTTCTGTTTAACGTCATGCTATTCTAACTACTCATGGTGAATTGTTTTCTTTTCTTCATAGGGTTTTGCTAGTGGAAGTTTGGATGGAGATGCACAGTCTGTTCGTAGGTTTGCTGCTGATGGTGGAGAGTGCCTTATTGCTCAAAGTTATGCCAAAAACATGGGTCTGTACGGCGAACGTGTTGGAGCCTTAAGCATTGTAAGACTCATTCCATAACTTTCAGTTGCGATTTCCCTTACTTTGATGCATCCCACAAAAATTCATGCGAGGCAAATTGTCTCTTGATTGTATTCATTGTCAAAATTTCTACTTGAACATAGGTCTGCAAGAATGCTGATGTTGCAAGCAAGGTTGAGAGCCAACTGAAGCTTGTGATCAGGCCCATGTACTCGAACCCACCCATTCATGGTGCATCCATTGTAGCCACCATTCTCAAGGATAGGTACTCTTTGAATCTTGTTCAAATGCCTGTTAAATGGCAATGACTTGATGTATCTTTAGCTAATTACTGAATTCCAACCCGAATCTTGTTTTTTTCTTCACTACTTTGAGTTCTAGTTGCCTCCTCACTTTTTGTATTCTGCGGTCAGGGACTTGTTCAACGAATGGACAATTGAGCTGAAGGCCATGGCCGATCGTATCATCAGCATGCGGCATCAGCTTTTTGAATCCTTGCGTGCTAAGGGTGAGTGTTTCCATATGGGAATGAGTATCATGCATTTCCGTAGCAGTTTGCATAGTTACATCACCTCACTGAGTTGTATATTCTGCAGGCACACCCGGTGACTGGAGCCACATCATCAAGCAAATCGGAATGTTTACCTTCACCGGATTGAACTCCGAGCAAGTTGCCTTCATGACTAAAGAGTACCATATTTACATGACATCCGACGGGTAATCAATCAGCTTTTTTATTAAACGAAGCCTAATCTTCTGAACGTCAAGGATAGAAATTTCGTTGCATATCCAAACACGTCTTGACGCAGATAGAGTGACGATTTGCAGAATGAGGCGATCGACTTAATTTTCTTTCTTGGTTTTTGCAGGAGGATTAGCATGGCGGGTCTGAGCTCAAGGACCGTCCCTCATCTTACAGAGGCAATACATGCCGCTGTTACTCGCGCTGCATAATCATATGTTAAGAAGGCAACATTTTCTTGTTGTGAGCCAACTTCAACTTTGGACTCTTCCCTTTCTGCAGTTTTCTTGTAATAATTGTTTTACCTCATTGGATGAGGTTAAAGATTTGGCCGATTATGATAAGATGAAGAAAATCTGGAGGATTTGTGTGATGTTTTCTGCCTCCCCCATCTCAAACTTTGTATGCATTCATAAGAAATATTCATGTCAAATTAAAAGTTTTTGGAGGATCCTTTGTTTCATAATTTTTGGATGCTTTTCAATTTCAATAGTCTGGGACGATGGAGTAATTTGAAAAATAAACTGTTAAGATTTGAACAATGAAGATTGTTTATAAAGCTAGATTGCTTAGAGCATCTCCAAAGGAGATGTTAAAAAGTTCACATCAGCATTAACAGTAATGAAAGACATCACTAATGTTTTTCAACCGAAATGTCAATCTTATGTGGTATGACATGGAAAGGCAGGAGAGACAACAACTTGAAGGAGAGACAACAACTTCAAATCTATTTTTAGTAATT